ACATGCACCTTCTCTCGCTCATGTAATCTGTTTGGTGGTGGTGTGTGCGTATGTGTGTGTGTGATACGAATGGGTCCAGGGTAATTACCTTAACAAAAAAGATACCCTGGATAATCGAGGATGATCATATGTGTTTCCATTGTTCTTATTGGGTAAGTAGGCACAGCAGCTAAAGTATATTGTTCGCATTTAATGAATAAATTGATATTCTATGTGTGCGTGTGCGCGCGCGTATGCGTGCGTGCGTGTTTGTTTTCATTTTTTTGTCATCGAAACATGTATATTTGAAGATTTAATGATGGAACAATTCCATTTGATAAATGTACATGACATTTGAACTGATGGAATATACATAACTTGAAATGATAAAGAACATTATTTGTGGCATTACCAGAATAATCTGTATGTTTTTTAGAAGATCAATTTTGATCCCGAGTTACAATATAGTACTATATCATGATTATTTTGAATTAATAATTACACGTGCTGTTACACACATCATTCTAGGAACAGGAGTTTGAGGAGGAGTGAGTGAGTGAGTGAGTGAGTTGGGTTTAACGCCGCTTTTAACAGTATTCCAGTTATATCGCAAGCGTGTCAGTTTAATGTGGGAAGAAAGCCCGAAGTGATTCAGGTCTCAGACGTTTTTCACTTCGGTGAAACCCACGAGCACGGGTATGGTGCTGACAAACCTAGAAACATAATCGGGGCGAACCGGGATTTGAACCCACAATCATAGGTTTCTGGCGTACCCAAGGGACGTAACTCTGCACAGCGAATCGTGGCGCCTCAGACGACTGTGCCACCCGTGCCCCTGTTAGAGGAGGAAGAGTGTCAGAGAGAGAGAGAGAGGTGTAGGAGAAGGATGAGAAGGAAGGGGATGAGGAGAGGGAGGAGGATGAAGGCAAGGGTCATAAGAAAGAAAATGATGATGGGCATGAGGATGAGGATGAGGAGAAGGTTGATGAGGGGAAGGAGGAGAAGGAGGGTGAGGAGAAGAAGGAGAAGATGAGGAGGAGGATGAAGAGACGGAGGATGAGGATTAAGAAGAGGAGAAGGATGATGAGGAGGATAAGATGAGGAAAAGGAGGGTGAGAATAAGAAGAAGGATGATGAGAAGGAGGATGAGGAAAAGGTGGAGAATGAGGATGAGGAAAAGGAGAAGATGACGAGGAGCAACAAAATCTTTTGCATCAGGAAAACGGATGTTTCTCGTGAATTTTATTTTGTTGACTTCCACTTTCTGTTTCCAGACTGGGCATTCTTTAGAGAAAGAAGAGTGACATCCTGAGCAGCTGGTACATTTGTTAAAGGTAATGTCATAATCTTCTGTTGTATGGGTTGTCTCACTACAGTGAGCACACGTAACTGACAATGTGCCAATGGCAGTATTTTTGGCATTTGAAGCACCCAAGAGGATTTCGAATATAAATTTCAACACTGATATTGTAGTAACCTGCCTTTATTGATTTGAAAACGAAAATAGGTACGTGTTTGTTTGAAAAGTGTCTTCTACGGGCTGTGAATATTTTAACATAAACTTTAATTTCAGAGACGATTTCTAGTTCAGACATGTCAGCAAACAACTGATCCCAGACTTGCGCTGTTCCTTTGCTGGTGTTAAGGTTCTGTGTGGAGAGACCAGGATCCCGACAAGCAATTTAGTGGATAAACAGGTTGGTTGATTGCTATTTTTTCAGACATTCTACCAGTGGAGTAATGATCCTGAACGCAATCGTTTGATGTTTGTTACCTGACCTACTATAACATGTATACCCTTTGATACTGCAAATCAGTTAAGTGTAAGCGGAGTCTTGTGTTGAATCTCAATCACTAAGAAGTGTGGAAGATCACTGTTCATTATCAATATCAAGTGGACGTTTTTTTGTTTATTTTATTGTTCCGTGTTAATCCATGTTAAGTTTATAGTATTTCATCATCAGAGCTACCCACCCACCATGGAGTGTCATAAAGACGATACTAATAACAAGTGGATCTCCAACTTGCAGCACCAATTATACCCGGATGATATACTCAAGCAGAAAAATTAAAAGATTAACTTTTCCACCAGATTGGCCCACGAGCCACCGCCTACTGGGCATAGGACTCGAGTCAAATTACATACTTGAAAGTATACATTTCAAATTCAACGAACAGATCATTTGGTCAAATGGACAAAAACAAATCATTACAACACTTGGACAAATAATTTCAATTATTTAACAAACTGGTGCAACGCAATATTGATGCACAGGGCTTGGCATGACCAGCCGATTGACAGGACCGGGCCCAACCTGCCACCCATCTACGCGAAGTAAGGGTCAAAGTGGTGTATTGGTCAAAGGAACGCTACTCTTGGAACCAGTGCCCTCAACCACCATCGCCTATTTCGACCAGCTATGGGGTGCTGAGGACACATTCTTGTCTACCCCGGGTTCACACGGGGATTGTCGCAAGAGGCAACTAACAGGATCTGCTGGTCAGGTTCGCTGACTTGGTTGATGCATGTCATCTTATTGTAAATGCGAAATCGATGCTCATGATATCAATCACTGGGTTGTCTGATCCAGGCTTGATTATTTACAGATCGCCGTCATATGGCTGAAATGTTGCTGTGCGGTGTTATTAAACAACATACAAACAAACAAAAGTATGACAGATTATAGCGATCCTGATGAAAGTATTCCCATAATAGCCACACTTCTCACACTAATGACAGTGACAATACCATTTCCCAGGAGGCAGATAGCATGGATGTGACATGCTGAATACTCATTCCTGTGAATGCAGAAAACGCAACGCGGGAGGTCAACTGCAGTGTTATGTATTTAGTTTATATATTTCCAGGGAAACATGAAGAGCACAGATCTATTTTATAATATTCTAGCATCTAGGGGTATTCATTTCGATTATCCGATGTTTGGCCCAAGGTTTTCCATTGGCTGTAAGACTTCAGTACAATCTTCCTCTGGCGCTGATCGTCTCCAGTATTCATTCGGTTCAAGGGATTTCTTCAATTTCTGAAATGTGTCAGGGCAGGTATATGAAACTCTCTTTAGTTCGTCCCAAACAAATATTGATATAGTCGTAGCAAATATGAACCAATATGACTAACATGACACGAACTGCGCTTTCATTTCAACAGAACATTATATTAGAGTCGAGCGTTTACATTGTGTTTACCTCTTTCATCGTTGCCCCTTGTGTGTTGTAAACCGTCCAGATGAAAACAGTCGGCAACGGCAGGAGTGACGAAACAGATATGAGCCATCCAACAGCTGTCGCCCAGGTGGGGTAGATGTAGTCCCCGTATTTCGGGGGTCGGTAGGAGTAGAAGGAGTAGCAGCAGATCACCTGGTAAACCAGTTAGGGTATAACGTTCACACATGCTCTCGCTTGCGCACACAGTCCTCAGTATCTTAAGCTTGTCGTATGAGCCAAGTAACCGAAACGAGTTCGGTCATTACCAATATGTTACTCTGCTTAAGCAATGCACCTCCCCAAGAACCATATCTTTTCCATGAAGATCGAACCCTGTGGGATTACAGGTATAATGTGTCCTAAACAACCTGAGCTTCTCACCAGATAGATTGAGTAGACAGGCTTGGTGACTTGATTGACTGTGTGTCATCGTACAGTGACGGAGGGATGCGTTGATCATAATATCAGTCAAAGATGTTTTTGCATCTATTCTATATTTATATGTATATGTATTATGTTGTTAAAATAATATTGTACCTCTGATGCCGCTGTTAGCGGCCTGAGTGTAAACAAAAGTTCAGTTCGGTCTCAATTGATTAAAGGCTGCCGAGTGGGACAAAAGAAATATGTCGAAAAGGCTGACGTGGTACCTGATTGACATTAGCACTGTCACTGTAGTGATTAGGTTAATGGTTCGTTTTGGCTGGAATAATGTTCAATTATGGGAACGTGATGTAAATTCTACTACTTGTGGCTGCCTCAGCAAACTGCTACCAACCCGTAGGTCATATAATCACAGGTGACTTCAGCAACCTATTATCATCCTAAGAAGCGACTAACGGGATCGGTTGGTCAGGCTCGCTGACTAAGTTGATACATGTCATCGTATTCAAATACGGACCGAAATATCGTGACTAGCCTCCTACAAATTGGGATCACAACTTAAAATCATTATGGATGCTGTCAAAGTATATGCCAATAAACGGGGCAAAAGAGAAGAGGAAACTGTTGAATATTTTTCAGAGTGGGTTAAGTCAGTGCGTGATGTTGTCATTGGTAGAATGCACAAACCGAAGAAGAGGAAACGGAATTGGAATAAACCAATTCTGTAGCAGCTACCTGTCGTCCAAAGTCTGGCTGCCCTACATGAAAAGTTTGTAGTTGTACCCACTGACAAGGCCTCAAATAACGACCATAATATTTAAGCATCACGACATTAACTATTTGATCAAAGAACTTGATATAAGTGACATTTCCAATAATGCTTCATATCAGGCCAGTATATTAACTGAGGAAGAAATCTGCCAAAACCATACATCAGTACCATCCACTTTTGGCTTGACTCTAAAACCTGGACACATTTCTTTCCTATTTTGTACTGGATTCCAAAGATTCATAAAAAAGAGATATATAGCTGGGTCCAGCAAATATACCACCAAATCCCTGTCTCAACGATTAACAATAGTTCTAAATACAATCAAGGGATGACTTTCTTTAAATTCACAGGAAGTATTTGAGACAAGTTGAATTAACACTATGTGGATTCCCAAACACTCAAAGGACTTTGTACAATCTCAGAAAAGAACCAGGTTCAATTATGTTTATCAAGTGAACAACTGACTTGCCTTTGCATGTGTTTGTTACGGGTGCCACTTGTGGGACAGGATACGTTCACCTTTTCGTGGACACCTAATATCATAACTATTTGATAGTGATTCATAAGCACATGCTCATGATATAGTCGGAATCGTACAATCGACTTTCGCAGGGTGGTTTTAACTACTTACAACTAGAAATAGGGGGCACACAAACTTGAAACTTATGACCATAGCCCGAGGTACCGTCTTTCCCCACATCGTAAGAGCGTCCTCTTGAAGCCTCTTGGTTCCTGAAATGTAAGTCATCCACGTGTCCTTATTATGGCCATCATGCATATTTTGCAAATACTAATTAATAGACACAACTGTCTCGAAGAAATGTTAGAATATTGATTTTCTCCCAAAGTAATTGTTTGTTGACAAGGGTCGTTCCTGATTATGAACATGTCCTTCACAAAAATCGGAACCATACCCTGTATGTTCCTCGAAATGACCATCTGGCAGTTGTAGCTACTAAACTCTGGAATATGTATCTTGGTGTTTAAAAGATAACCATGCCACTATGCCCAAGTGTAATAGGGGAATGTGCTCTGGTTTTAATATATTTGCTTTGTTATATAATAAGCACTTTGTCTTGAATCTTGACTTTCTTTTTCTTTTGTCATCTGACCTCCATTGTCTCACATGTGGATGCGAAATTGTCAGTATGCTCTGCTTTGCCTTTCCCCAAAATGTCAATAAAATGGACTGGCCAGGACACATAGGAAGAGACGGCTGGGGAGAGTGTATGGTGTGTCGACTTCGACAGCCAGTCTCTGGTTTGGAAAGGAGGTCTATGGGTGATATTAAAAGTTACATTTTGTACTCATAAGTTGAACATCGTATTAATTTATGACGTCAAATGTTTAAGAGTGTTCGTGTCACAATAAAAATTGAAGTGCAAAACAGAATGAAAGTTCGAAATACAAACTTAAGGCCATGGTACAGCGTGTGAAGCAACTATTCTAGAAGACAGGTGGCAAGGTACAATGTTGATGCGCTCTTACCATAGCACCAGCCCACAACGATGCACTCAAGGATGCCAAACACGGCCGTTGATGGGAAGAAGGTGTACCAGTCAACCAGCGTCACCACGAATATCCCACCCTTCAATGTGTAAATTACACAATGTCAGAATGTAACAATATTCACTGACGGAGATCTCAGAGATTTCTAAAGCTGAAATACCAATTATCTTTGAAATGATTAAGCCGTACCTATTGTTATGAGATAATTTCCAGATTGAAACGCAAAGGCCAACCCAGAAATCGTTTTTTTCAGAACTAAATTGTGAAATCAGCCCCACAAGATCAATGAATATTGAACAAATTATTTTGAAAGACGCACTTTTAGGTTTTCAATCACAAAATATAATGCAATGGGTTAAATACGTGGAAACAGCATTAATTAACAGACCCAATAACATTTGTCCAGAATGTGTCACTGTTGAATGTCTTAAATAAAAAAAAATGCCCCATAAATTCTTGAATCTGTAAACAGTGTTCAACATTAAGCTGTAGGTTCCTTTGCCCGCCACACTCGATTACTCAATTCCAGCTGGGTAGTTAATCTTCTCGTTGCTATATTTGTATCTCATGTAACAAACTCCCATTACACAAACTCATTGTACCCAATTGATATATCTTTTAGAACTGAATGTCATAAAAGTAATACATTAACTTTGCAGATTTTCTTTGAGAGGATTAAATCATATCTTTTACTTTATTTTAAAAAACAATGGATAATATGTTGTATGCTGGGACTTTATCAACAACAAAATTTGTGCTGCCCGAAGATTATTGAAAAAAAATGATTATTGTTCATACTTTAAAAAAGATATCAAGCTCATAAATCAAATAAGACAATATCCGGTTTTCTAGCTTCAGCTGAAAGATTATCTCCCCCTCCCCCCTCCCCCTCCCGAAATATCAAATGGCAGTTCCATAAGATAATTTTACTTGAAGCAGTTGTAAGAATATTGGCAGGTTCATCTGAATATCACAAAAAATGTCTCGAGTCTGAACTTAAAAACTGGCCATGTGTTGATGGAAAGGGTCTAACTATAAATCATCACAACGTGTTGATTAACAAAGACATGTTCATATGTACCCTGGAATATATACTCAACAACAAAAGTTCCTGTGACACCAATATTTTAGTATATTTTTCGCACAAGTAAAGTTTTGTTTTTGATATTGTAGTACATGTATGGAATCAAGTCACAAAAACGCAACTGCTACAGAAAAGCATGCATTCCATGCAAAAGTTTACTTTTATGCAATGTGTGAAGCCCATTCTGTTGTCCCCCGCCTTGATATTGCTGGAAAAGCGGCATAAAACCATACTCACTCACTACTTTTTTTGCAAGCCCCATGCATTTCACTACACAAGAATGGGTAAAAAGACATGTGCGTTAACGGGATTCCATATGCATTTTTTAGCATCGTGCTGACAACCACTCCGAAAAACAACAAATTTACGCAATTGTTCAACATTACGAAATGCCACGCCTGTCCGAAAATGAGCGTCTGCGAGCCATTGGTATGCTTGAAGCTGGATCGAGTCAACGTGATGTTGCAAGACAATTTAACGTCCACAGAAACACCATTTGGTGTTTATGGCAACGTTAGCAACAGACGAATGCAGTCAGAGACGATCCTCGGAGTGGCAGGCCACGCGTAACCAATAATCTAAAAGACAACTGGATTCGAACAACACACCTATGAAATCGATTCCAGCCAGCAACAGTGACTGATAGTGGCAGAGGGAAACCTCAATGGACAGCGCTACCGCGACGAGATAATCAATCGGCCTTGTTGTTCTACCGTTTTTGGCATCGTCATGGTCCAAGCAGTACCTTTCAACATGACAACACCCTACTTGTTCGGGATTCTCTTCAACAAAACAACGTGAATGTCATCCCCTGGTCGGCTCGCTCCCCTTATCTCTCACCAATCGAGCACATGTGGGATGAGATTGATCGGCGCCTTCGACGTCAACCACGTGTCCCACAGACACTCCAGAAGCTTCGATACATGCTCCAGCAGATATAGACAGATATCCCACAGGATTTTGTGCGACGCCTGGTCCATTCCATGAGACGAAGATGTGTTGCTCGTATGGCAATCAGAGGTGGACACACACGCTATTGATTTGTACATTTACGCATTTTCTGAAGTCAGTATGGAAAATTAAACCATTTGAACACTTACAGGAATCTCTTATCTGTTGCAAACCGAAATTGTTTCAGATTTAGTAAAAAACATAACTTTGCATTAAATCTTATTCAATGTCACAGGAACTTTTGTTGTTCAGTATATATCAGACCCACATTGCATGTTCAATGTTTCCGCTGCAATACATAAAAGACCAGTCAGATGTGTTCACTGTTACCTGTGACGTATATATTAGACCAAACAGGAAGAGACCGAGGAGCACAGCACCGATGGTGAGCCAGTATCGCTTCATCAGTTGGGGAAACATATCCTCCAAGGCAGCGATGACTATTTCCACACACGGTACCTGAATAGATGCACATGTTTGCATCATATAGTGTAATGAATACAATGCTTCTTCATACTTTAATGTAGTGTCTTGTTCTGAAATGGTTTTAGCGTAGTTGTTAATTGATTGTGAGTGAATCAGATTTCCTCGCTACCATAGTATCGACAGCCAACAACATCAAGGTCAAAAATGTCAACACGGACCACAGCTGTGGCAGAGGGAGGGTAGATATGACGTCGGGGTAGACGATGAAGGCAAGGTCATACCCTGAAATACAACAGCCAACTACCACTTGATCATGAAAAGCCACATACATTTCCCGTTCCTCGGGCTTACATTTTCGGTTAAGACCGAGAAGGAGGTATTAATCAATACTTTTATGTATCCCTCACACTTTCTTTTCACCTTAGGAAACGGACGTAAAATATTTCTGTGTACATGGATAATCTTAACCGCATTGTGGTTTGACAGCGCCTCAGAAGCCCAGTTGTTATAATAGGCTGTTATACCGAAGGTTGCAGGTTCGAACCCACTGAATGATAAGTTTAATGTTTCGTTTGATTTTACTTCATTCAAACGCACAATTAAGATGTGCGACAGAGGGACTTTCTATAAAATATACCTGGGAGAGAGGGGCATTCTGGAAAAAGTATCTGTCAAAAAATTATTGTACAAAAAGAAGTCCCCGTAAAATCAATAGCATGGCGTGCCGTCACGAGGTTTATAATGATAATTTTTGCTGCCTTAATCCGAAGTTGTTGACTTTGGGACAAGCATAGTCGCCTCTTACGGCAAGCATGGGTTGCTAAAGACCTATTCTACACCAGATCTTCACGTGTCCGCAAACCAAGAATCAAAATCAGGTCGGAGCTGGTAATCAAAACCACGTAGTACGATTCTGACAAACCTAAGGCACCCAACAGAACTCCCCTTTACCCACAATTTCATATGAACCATATTCATAGTCATCATCAAAATAGCATTTCTTACTGTATCAGCCATGTACTTACCAGAAGATTCAAACGTATCCACAGCTACTCCGCGTTGGAAGGCCACGTGACCAACGTTAGCAAAGAATGCAAAGCCGTAGAAACAGGTGGAGAGAGAATCGCACAGGCTAATTATAATCGAATCCCTATATACAATATATGAACAATATATTATTACAATAGTTATGACATGTGGAATGTAAACGCTTATTGATAGACATTAACATATGCACTTTTGGGACCCTTGGCTCGGCTACCACGTGGTAGTTAATCCCTCGAAGGTTGTTGGTTAATTTCTACAAATACCATAATTATGGCAAATACTGTAATTTGATTGGATAAGCAGGTTTAGAAAATCACCACAAACCAAACTTTACAGAAACGTATTTCTTATTCATTCAGTTTTAGGCATGGTGAATTGTAGGTTACGAAATACAAGTAATGCTAACCACAATATACAAAGTATTTGTGGCGATATAAAATCGACTAGAGCATATTTCAAATTCTAGGTAGAGGGACAATAGATGTTTGAGCGGCTGATAGACGTAAACTATACCTGAAGCAGTTGTTATCCATTCTGTTGTGTCCAGACATAGTGACGATGCACCCCATAGCTATACCCATGGAAGACAGGGCGTAACTACACGACTGAATCCACACCTGTAACCACAGAAACATATCTGTTTCTACAGTGTTAATCAGGAGTATGACACAAACTGTTGGAGAGACATGAGGGAATTCAAAGCATGTGTCGACACCACGACATTTGAATCAGATACTGGATATATAGAATGCACACTGGTATTTGAGTTTTACACCGCTTTAGTATTATACCACGACGGGGGTCACAGAAAAGGGGCGTCATGTTTTAACCCAAATAAAGAATCGCACCCTTGTCTTTGACACGATCATTGTGTTGATCTTCCCATCACAAGGGATAAATATTTCAAATAAGCATATTTAAGAATTGTCTTCCATACACCTTCGCATTCACTTAATTATTTGTTTGTTGAAAGAAACAGAATTGTTTGAAAGCTTTTGATTGATGTTTTCTAAAAATATAAGTCGTTTTATAATTGGTAAATTAAATTTGCAACTGGGACTTTTAGTGGCTGTATCCTCGTAGGGGTTAAGAATATTGTAACATTATTGTCCCCTGAGAAGATATGTTAGTTCCACGTCATTCAAGGCAAATTTAGACCTGCCACATTTTAATCGTTGTACATTTTTTGGTTTTATTTGATGGATAAAACTGAGTACAATCGCCGGCGACGAAAGGGGTGGTGATATTTTCTACTGGGGAACCGTGTAGGTAGCGGAAGTACCGCAAATCCCAATGATCCCTTGAATGGTGGCCCAAATTTGGTTGCTGGCGATCGGTTTTATCATGTATTGTTATGTAGAGTGATATCGTTTATGGTTACACACTAAGGATGAAGATACATCTGTCATAGTCTAGTTGTTTTACTGTTCTTTGTTGACAGGCTGTAATATTCTCTAACAATGTATTACGTTTTACAGACACTATAAACCTGCCGATGTGTTTTAAATTTAAACTCACTCACTGACCCACTTCGACGTGATGAGACACATCATGGTATCAATTAATACTGATCAGTGCTTCCATCAGAGGCGCTCGCTTAATTCGCGTCTTAATTGGCTCTTTTGGGGTTCTTTGCACATTTAGTACTGAGACTCTTGAAGATCTTGTTTGACCTAACATTCTCACCCTTTGACTCAGCGAACAAACACTATCACAGTGCTCATGTTGCCCGTATTGATTGTCTGGTTCAGACTCGATTATTTACAGACCACCGTCATATAGCTGGAATATTGCTTAGTGCGGGGTTAAACAACAAACAAACAAACAAATCGTATTAACTCTCATTACCATATATAGGTTTCCAGCAACCCATACGTATCGACGATGCGACTATGCGTGTCATAAGAGGCAACTAACGGTTCGTTGACTTGGATGATTCATGTCATCGTATCCCAATTGCAATAATCGATGCTCATGATGTCAATCACTGACTCGATTATTTACAGAACGCCGTCATATAGCTGGAATATTACTGAGTGAGGCGTTAAACAACAAACATACAAACAGTGAAACCCCGTTGTGTCAAACGCGACTCTTGATGATGTTGAGACAATTGTGCGCAAGGTGATGACAAACAAACAAAAATCAATTGTCAGAAATAATACCATGTCTAGTATGTACGAAGAAGTCAAGGTGACACGGGTGGCCTGGTCGTATAAGGCGCCACAATTCGCTGAGCAGAGTTGCGTCCCTTCCGGCACGCCAGAAGCCTATGGTTATGATTCTAAACTCACGGGCAAAAGAAACGCTGGCTTCTAATATTCGCATCCAACGATATTAGTAATTCCACAAGCATAGAGTAGGCATGCAAATACGTGGCTCGAGCAGGAACCAACCATGAGTGCTCTGTTTAGTGAAATTACTCCGTACTTTCGCCCGGTGTCTGCTTACGTGCAATATGTTTGCAATAATATTTTTGATAATTTTTATAATTCATATCGATGATTTTCAATGGAACATGTTATTGCAGGTTAATACAAAATAAATGTTTACATAAATTATTGTTTTCTTCTGATTGACAGTGTATATATGGGTATCGCATGTGTTTGTGATAATATATGTTTTCTCAAGTGCATCGAAGGGTCCTAAATTCACTGTTTTCCTGTTGACTTTTATTTCCTGAGGGGATCTGTATACATACTGATCAAGTATAATATAGATGATGTTGTTTTAAGCCTTGATTGATACAATGTGAACGACATTTGCTATCGGATTAAAGACGTTTTTCATAATAATCATCTTGTGTTGTGTGGTTTCCATTGACTGTGGTGATTAAGAAATTAATAGAAAGCCATGCGGCAGTACAAACATAGTTTAGCAAAGCAAAGTCTCAAAACGTAAGTCAAATGCGTAAATAGATTTTAGCTTACTTCAGGGTCTGTAAGCTTGTCAAACTTGGGATAGATGTAGTAGTATATTCCTTCCGCTGACCCCGGAAGTAGACAGCCCTGGATGAGGAAGACCAAGATGAGGATGTTGGGGACACCCACGGTGATGTAGACAAGCTGGTAGAAAAGAGTGTGTGATTATTTGTTTTGCTGCCTTTAGCAATGTCCAATCCATGTAAAAAAATGGTCCTTACACCTAATGCTTTAACGACAACGCATTATTCATGAAACTGATATGATTAGAAATTCGGGTAAAAGGTAAGCATGTCAATAAGGGTTGAAAAGAATAAGACTTAGCAGATATGAACCAGGTAATGTCTGCGTATGTCTCTGCATATAGTTGCAACACATAGTCGCAGAAAAACTAAACTCCCCAAAGGGAAGTTTTCGCATTGTGACGTTTTCAGCATTTATACCTTTCCGGATACTTTTATTCCTTGCAGTGTCCAAAGAAATAAGAGCACAGTGGTGCCGACCAGGCATCCAACAAGATGCCATCTGAGACCTCCAAGATTGTCCAGGCCATCACTTTGTCCAAGCATCTGGAATCTGGAGAAGGGAACATCATTGTGTCTACAGCCTATATTTTGGGAACAATCTTAGATCTTCAACGCATAATGAGTGAGTGAGTGAGTTGGCGTGGCGCCGCTTGGCGCTGTATGTCCGTTATAACACAGCTCGAAGCCCAAAGTGACGCATTTCCTCAACATTTAACACAGTCACGGGCATGGTGCTGTCAGTCCAATAATCATGATTACGTATAAGGTCTTGTAAAGCATGTGAAACAATAGAATGGAATAGCAGGTTAAAGAGGCATAAGGCTAGAGGCAAGGCAACGCTGCTTGAGGCAATAATATTGTCGCATATAAAACCTGAAACATTACAATGTGAGTGAGTTAAGGTTTATTCCATCCATATCGTGACTAAATCAAGTTACATACTGAACAACAAAAGAAACGTCACCATTGATAAATATATGAGAAACCTTATTTGTTCAAACAATATAAACATACTTTGAGATATATTAAAAAGATGCCACTAGGCAAAACTGATCAAGGTTGAAATTAAAGTGTCAAATGTTCTTAAAGTGAAACACAACACCAGTCTCTGAGAAAATGCTATCACAAGTCAGTATTTCGTGATACATGGAATGGATGAGGCGGTGAAGGCCATCGGCACTTGAGCCCACACTCTGAGGAACGCCTGACGCAGTTCAGCTGCAGTTGTCGGCCTTGTTCGGACGTCATTCAGCCGTCTTTGAATCTCGTCCCATAGGTGCTTAATGGGATTTAAAACGGGACTGAGGGCAGGCCGCTGCATAGTTCTGATGTCATTCTGCTGGAGGAAGTCTCTTGTTCCTCTCGCACTGTGGGCACGGGCGTTATCATTCTGAAACTTATGGTTGCGGCGACGTGCCAAATGAGGTACGGCCTGTGGTCTCAAGACTTGATCAATGTACCGAGCTGCTGTGACATCATTGGCTCTCACTGGACCGATGTTCTGGAAGGCCACAGGGCCGACACTCTGTGCAAGACCAATCCACCCCACACCATGATGCTCGGACCACCCCACGAGTCTCTCGCAACAACACAAGCATCCGAATAACGTTCTCCGCGGCGTCGCAAGACTCTGCCATCTGCTGTTGACATACAATAACGGTTCTCGTCTGAGAAGAGGACTCCTCTCCACTGTTGGTGGCGACAATGCTGGTGCTTTGTTGCCCACTGAAGACGGTCTCGGCGATGACGTGGCGTTAGAATGGGTCCTCGGTGTGGCCTGTGACAGTGGAGGTGTCTGCTCGTCAATCGTCGACGCACGGTTTCCGCACTTATGTGTCGCTGGTGTGTCCCTATGGTCTGTCGAGCAGTTTCGGCAGCAATAACAAAGCGATGTTGCAGATGCTGTCACACAATTTGACGATCCTGACGGCGGATGGTGACCCTTGGTATTCTACTACGTGGTCGGTCATCTGTAGCGTTGGTGGTCTGGTACCGTTGCTGGAGCCTGTATATGATCCTTACGTAGACTTGAAATGCATTGGCTACTTGCAGGGCGGTTTGTCCAGCTTGCAGTTGTCAAAGGGCTTGGTGTCGCTGATTTCTTGTCAATCTTAGCATGTAGTAGCAATTCAATAACGAGTGAATGTTTTCCGATCTGGGTTGATTTATATAGGGCAGGAAAGGGGGGAACGCCTGCGCCTTTCAATTAGCACGGAACTCACGTGCGTCGGCATACCATGGCCGTTGCCGTGATCCGTTGGGGCGATCGGTTTTATTGTCATCTGCTTTGCTTTTTGTCATCAAATTTCATTTTTCCGGAGAAGATAATGTTAAATTTTAGAAACTTTGACAAATATTACCCAGATATTTAAACGACAAATTTTCATGCAATATTATTTGGTGTGACGTTTCTTTTGCGGTTCAGTATATAGTATGGTCCAATACCGATTATATCATAATCATGTCTTCATAAATTATTATCAAATTGTTATGATACCAGGCTGTTCACACAACGGTGGGCGCATCCGTCAGAAAGATGCCAGGGCAAGTCAATTGTTCACCTGAGAAAGACACGGGAACACACAGTAGAAGACAAAATAGAGAATTGCATCGGACATTATTCTTGTCACTGATGCGTCGTATTTGGAAATGTCCTCCACATATCTGCCATAAAACGTTTTGAAAGCTTTTCTGTGGCGTTGGATGTTGTAACCTTGATCACACAGCTTTCTTAACAAGAGTTGTATTGTGCTCTTTGAAATGAAAGAGCATGCTCGAATGTACCTTAACAGTTTACACCAAGGACTGCAGCTGCAGGAATATTGCTCGACATAAAGGAAAGTTTACTATTGGAAAGACGAATTCATCTCTCTTGTCATACACTCTTGTGGAGTGTGTATTGTCACTCTGAATCGTTATGAACATATCTAATCATGAAACAGATGAGGAAATCTATTTAATCTCCTTTTATTTCTAGCTCTGGTGGGTAATCAATGAAAGGGAATTGGCCAAGTCATTACTATTGAACGAAATCAGGGGATGATCGACATACCTGAAGCTGAAGTTCTTGTTTTGCCATTGCTATTCCGAGCAGAAATTCCGATTCATATGCATAAAGAAACATATCAACAAGAAGGGGAGCATAATTGGTGCCATATCATGGGGATAATAATCATAATAAGTGCATTTATAATGCGCCAGTTTCCATTGGATGCTCATAGCGCTAAACTATTATTGCCAAGATGTCTTTGAAATTTACATAGAGAATCTCACCTGAGTGTCTTTTGATATCAAATATATCAAAACGAGTTGATAAAAGTGGAAAAATTCCGAGGCTTGCCGAGGATTTTTGTCATTTTTATCAACGAGGGTGAGATTTTACTTCAGTAAAAGCTTCAGTAGCAGAGCCATAAGTGATGTCATTTGATTGTGACGTCATGGTAACCAGTGACGTCACAATGATTTACTAAACATTGTGATGTAATTTCATTGCAACGATATCTGCAGTGTAGATATCGCTTGGTCTCGTCCAGTTTTCATTCCAGTTTTGGATGATAAATTAATGTTATCGACAAGGATGTCCAGCATTTCACATATTGTTTTCTCAGTAAGCTTCAGAAGACATTAGCTTTCATTTTTGACAAATTTCCCTGATCCTCTGAAGATGTATATGGAAGTGTGTCTATGGTCACCACGTTATGTAACAAAAGCCCCATGGATCAAGGAAGGAAGTCTTTTCCTTTGTCATGTAGGGATAGTCGTGTACATTGTTGAATAAGCAAATGTTTCACCAGACTTGAATTTGATTCTTTTCTGACTTTGTGAAAAGTCAAGCAAATCCTTTTCATGTTTGAAAACCCAAATATAATTTATTTTACTTGTCTTAAATACTTTCTGTGAAAATAAGGGAGGTCTTCTTTGCGTATAATACTTAAAACATTTTCTAGACATACTTCCAGAATTCTTCGGCAGCTGTCATTCCTTGGGCTGTTCCATTAAAGGAGTATCCAGCATCCGTTGAATTAGACGTTGTAACCATGGACAAAGCTGAAGTGTTCTTGTTGCATGCCGGGGTGTTCCATGCGTTGTCGCAGTGGTCCCAGGGCAGGTTGGAAGAGAACGAGTAGTAGAAGTAGTACATGTACCATGTGAAGTTGACGTTGCAGTAGCTAACGTATATCCACGTAACAACAACACCGCCAACGCCTATACCTGCAATGGTACAATGTGAAGAGATTGGTACAGTGGCAAGCAGTACTGATATAATTATGCCCTTTGAGGAATAGACACCGTGCTTTTGGTGTGTCGAGCAACGTTTTAACCTCTTGGCTAACCCAACGCTCCATCTTCATAAGTGAGTGAGTGAGTCAGTGAGTTTAGATTTAACGTCACATCGGCAATAATTAGTGATATAGTGACGTGATCAATTTATACATCAATAATAAAGACATTTTGACTATATAAGAACCTGTCAACGAAGGACAGTAAAACAAACTAGACTGTCACAGATATGAATATATAGCTAGCATGGAACTATAAAAGGTGTAACGATTCACAGTATGTAATAAAAACAGGCTATTGATCGCCAACCACTGAAAACAGATCACCATACTCGGGACCATGGGGACTTACGGTACCTTTGCTACCTGCATGGATCTCAGCAGGATTTTTACCATACCCTCAGTCGCCGGCGATTGTGTATAATTTTAGCCAAAATTAAAAAGACAAATATTCTACGTCCAAAAGACAAGGATATATATATAGAATGAAAATTACTTACATTATCCTCTTAGGGGGAATATACTTTTATACTACTTTAACCCCCTTCGAGGATACAGCAAATAACAATCTCAGATATAAAAGTCAGTTTTTGTACAAGACATATCAACATGATTTGTTATACAATTCTATTTCTTTTAAAAAAACAAGAATTAAGTGAGATTTAATGCTATTAAAAAGATCCTTTGTCGAAGAAACTTTGAAAGACTCCCTTGTGATGGAAAAATCAACACTAGTCAAGCAGGATATGCTTGATGGTTATTTTTTTTTATCAAAAGGGATACAAAATAGAGGATCCTCACCCTTTAATAAATACTCGTGAGTATATCTGGAATGGCCAATACAACATCATCGCATAATGACCTCGTCAAATCTGGACTGAAAACCAAAGTAGGTGTAGCCGATGTTTGGTTTAATTTTATGTAAATTATTGATACCCCCTTGGATGTCCCACATCTTTTAGATAGCGGATGCAACATTTAATAACTGGCTTATTATCACTGTATGGGACCAGATGTGTCACAGATTTGTTGAGTGCTGCTTTTGCAGCAGCATCAGCCAATGAATTGACAGTGATTCCAACATGGCTGGGCCAACAGAAGGCGATGTCGTATTGGACAGTAGCAAGGTCAGTATGTAGTCCTAGAATGTCGAGTAAAATTGGATGTTGACACGAATTATTTTGAAAAGCCTGTAGGCAGGACAGAGAGTCTGAAACAATAATGAACTTCTGATGTTTAGACTGTTTTATATATATATTCCAGAGCTGTTAAAATTGCCTTTAATTCGGCTGTGAATATGGAAGAGTGATCAGGTAACCTGGTTGATATATTTCTGGATCCAACGATAGTGGCACTGAAAACAGCGTCACCATCCTTGGATACATCTGTAAATATTGATATGTACGTTTTGTATGTATTTCTTAACTGATTATATTCCTGTTGACACTGTAATTGATTTGTTTCTGATTTCTTTAGTTTGGTCACTGAGAGGTCTTTACCGATTGCCAAGGAGGAGAAGAAAGCAGCCGGAAAGGAGATATAGATAGTTCAATATTGGCAGCACAAATGAAACGTTTAAGTCTTACACGGAATACGGTGGAATTAGAGATAATTTCTTTTTATACAGCTCTTCATAAAGGTTGGTTGGTTAGTTTGTTGTTTAACGCCACACTCAGCAATATTCCAGCTATATGACGGCGGTCTGTAAAATAATCGAGTCTGAACCAGAGAATCCAGTAATTGACATGAGCATCGATGCACGCAATTGGGATCGATGACATGTATCAACCAAGTCAGCGAGCCTGACCACCCGATCCCGTTAGTCGCCTTTTACGACAAGCATAGTCGCCTTTTACGGGTTGCTGAAGACCAAATCTACCCCGGAATTTTTACAGGTCCTCCATAAAGGGGATTAAATACACAGTTGTATGCAGGGTTTGACTCATTAGAATATAGGTTTGAGATATATTGTAGAGATAGTTTAATATGACCTTGTTTAAGAGATGGCTCATCGGCCTAAACGTACAGACTGTCAATGGGAGAAGTTCCAACACAAAGCCTTAGACCTTGATGGTGAATAGAATCTAAAAGTTTAAGATTGCTTTTGCAGGCTCTACCATAGATTGTGGCCCTATCACCTAGAGGAGAAAACAATGGTAAGAAGTTGGCTGCCCTTTTGCCTGGCATACAAGGACCCTGTCCTCTCTGGCACCAGTCTTCCCTGGACGTCCTGATCTCACTCACGTGAGTCAATTTTATCTGTTTGCTATAAATAAGTAACTTGCAGACAAATGCAGATGGTTCGAATTCCTGGACCAATAATTGTAAATCGTTAAATCATTCATCGCTTCTGGGGGACCCGTGAAGATTCCGGGTATAATAGGTCTTCAGCAACCCATGCTTGCCGTAAAAGGTGACTAAGCTTGTTGTAAAAGGCGACTAACGGGATCGGGATCGATGCTCATGATATTAATCACTGGATTGTCTGGTCCAGACTTGATTATTTACAGACCGCCGTCATATAGCTGGATATTGCTGAGTGCGGAGTTAAACAACCAACCAACCAACCAATCTTCTGGGGATTGATTGGAGATATTCCTCGCCCAATTCTTGTTGGCGACAAACTTGAAGTTCTACAATGGTTGTTTTCAGAAAAATCCATCTCTTCAAGAGATCTAAATTTATTAAAAAGTTTGACAGGATCATCCGATCCTTTTGGTGGTCTCCGATTCTTATTTTTCCGCCGTGACGTAGAGTCTGGTTTACATTTGATGTTGACATTTTTATCTCTTCCAGATTGTACTAATGGAACCGAGTCATGCTGTGAACTGGATTTTGAAGCTGATGTGGAAGTTGTCATAGGAGGTAAAGGTTCAGCCATTGCGCAGCTGGTATTGGATCAACAGTCTGCGTTGAAGATTCAGAAGGTAAAAGAGGTTCAAGATTGATAGAAGTTATCCATGTCAAATTAGTTTGGCACTGAGTATATGTGATTTTGGAACTGTGGATGTTTTGGTGACTGGAGCATAAGTTTCATTTTCGTCAGAACTTGATACCAGTTTCCTTGCTTCAATGTTTGTGATGTTCCTGGTAATTTTATTGTGCTGATTTCAAATTCCTTCTTCCAAACTGGACATTTTTTACTGCGTGAAAAGTGAGCTCCAGAACAGTTTTTACACTTTTTGAAGTCACTGTTACAGTCCTCTGTGACATGAGATGTTTCACTACAATGTCCACATGGGATTTGGTTTTTGCAAGAATTTATCCCATGGCTAAACTGCTGACATTTAAAGGATCTTAATTGGTTTGGGATATACAACTCTACTTCTATTATACAATAGCCTACTTTTACCTATTTGGGCGCTGTTGGGGAAGAAAGGGAAAACAGGTAAGTATTTGTGGGGATAGTTTCGGTGCCTTGACGTCTCGAAAATGTTCTGACAAATTTAACCCCTGGCTCTTTCATTTCACAAACTATGTCCAGTTCTGACATATCTTCAAAGAGTCGATCGCGATCTCTAATCATGCCTCTGCTAGTATTGAGGGTTCTGTGGGGAGAATCATTTACTGAGAGTCCCAACAATTTCATTCATTGACATCAGGCTTGTTGCTTGTTGTCTTTTAGCACATTCAATGAATATTGATCCTGTTCTCAATATTTTAATATTTTTAACGTCACCTGCTATTCCATAGATGCCCTCAGCAAGTGCAAAAGGGTTCAATTTAAGTGGGGTCTTGTCAGGTGTGTCAACAACCAAGAATCTTGGCCAGTACTCTACTGATTTTGAACTGCGATTTACATCGGCAGTCTCAAGATCATTTTCCAGTGTACGTTTGGATTTTTTAAGGGGGGTTTTGAAAGCCATGTTTGTAAGAGTAAAGGTTCAACATCCCTACTCCCCACCAGCAAACGAGTGTCAACAAAGGCAATATCTTAATGCCCAAGGCTATCCACCAGACAGATACTAGGGATATAGGCATGGTATACACCAGTAGTAAGATCCACCCTCTGGCACTAGAATCGAGACAAATATTTACAAAGTTTTACATGTTTTGAAAATTGAAAAATCCATATTTAGCATTGTACATATATATATATCCATAAACAGATACGTCAATAACATATAAAGAAAACCAAGCCAAATATTTTTTGAGCAATGAAAGTATAGTGCTCAGGGCTTGGCATCACCAGCCGATTGATAAGAACCCGTCCCCTCATCCAGCAGAATCCCGTCCTCCGCCGACAAAGGGGAGCAACCCACGGCAAACGGGTCGCCCAATTTGGTCGCCTTTTACGACCAGCAATGGGGTGCTGAGGACACCATTCTGCCCCGGGTCCACGCGGGGGAAGAGCTATTAGCGTTACCCAGCACTCACCACGGGCGAGTGCCCGTTGCAATAAGACTTTTTGCAATTCTTGTGTATGGTTGAGGGAAATACTTGATTTTTGTCACGTGAAGTTAGTATGATATGCCGACCAGTGAGAGTTGTGTCATTCAATGAAGCATTTTATTCATGAAGCATTGCCTTCTGTATTGAAAACCGTGTTAAGAATCTAACATAGTCAACGAGGGGTCCATGACGTCAGGACCACAGCAGTGACATCAGTTACTATAATGCGTGAAGTGTGTGGAATCAGTGTTTTTCAGGTGCTTCTTTATACAATTGAAGACTGAAAAAATATACACCTTGTCAAAAACATCGCACCACAAAATTTAAAGTGTCATTACGAGTTCATTTTCAATGTAGAGATTTTCACTGTGTGTTGACACATCATCTGCCTGTAGAACTAGCAAATTGCATTATTACAAGATCACCACACAGAAATTCATGTTTGATTACAGAAAGTTCACGCGTCTATATTGCCATTCATTTTGAATGAAAGTTCTACCAATTTGAAACTGTCTTCAGGACGATTGTAACGGAAATGCTTAAGCATACTATCCCAGAAAATCAATAATGGCAAATCATTGGCATGACCAAACTGGCATTTCATGTCGGGCTATTGCCAACGTGTTGACCATTTATCATTCAGTAATCAGTCGACTCATTAGAAAACACTCATTGACTGGACATGTGAGGGACAGGCCAAGATCAGGACGTCCAGGGAAGACCAGTGCCAGAGAGGACAGGGTCCTTGTATGCCAGACCTGAATCCAATCGAGCATCTATGGGATCAGTTGGAGGTAGTGTTTGAGGAGGCAGAGACCCTACAGTACAGAAACTGCAAGAATTGTTTCAGTAATTGAATCAGGAATGGCAACGCATTTCTCAAATTAGTCATGTGATTTTGAGCATGGGGAGACACAGTGCAGGTGTGACCAGTATACGGGGTGGCTACACCAGATATTGACTTACACTGTTAATCAGTTAACTGTAACATTGGTACAACATTACTTAGACATAAACGGTTTGATCTGTCCATCTCAATCCTGACATTTACCATACTAATATTGTCTCTGTTTATCCCCAATTACAGTCCTTGTAGTTTCTTGCTAATGAGGTTGCTTTTTTTTCTTTGCAAATGCTCATTTTTCCTATTATTATAAAATGTAACATTTTACTTGACATTAGGTAACGCTTTTGAATACTTTTGTTTTGCCTTCGCGCTTCTCCTCACCCATCTCCTATGGTTATCAAAACATCTTGGTGGTGCGATACTTTTGACGAGGTGTATATTGACCACAAGTTGTTCCCTTGAGGTAACACAACTTCGAACTCGTATTGTGTCAGTCTTTTGCTTTCAACTGCGTTTTCAGTCAAGGTTTTCATCACAAATTTAAGACCATTCAAGAAATGATATGGTGTACCTTCAGAAGGTATTTGAACTATATAAAGGGACAAGAGCGTGTCTGTCACATCTCACATTATATCTCACATTACATCAAGACCAGCAGTTGTGTCAAGATCACTGTTTTCAGCCTGGATATCCAGCCTATGCCTATTTTGGAAGCTTGACCACTGTTGCTGCGAGGTGAATATGATTATCATTGACTGGTTATCTCCACTGCTATTGTATTATATAAACGATGTATTATATACAGCCATTCAGTTGTTTCGAACTACACTGTTACCTTTGAATGCAGGAGACATATTCCAGACTTCAATAGGTCCACTCTGAGAGAACTGCCCGATGATCATCTCCAGAAACACACAGGGAATGGTTTCGATTATTGTGAAGAACATGAACAGTATCAGGAACGCTCCTTGTTAAAAAAACAACATAAATACATCATTTTTTCTACCTGTCATTGCACATGTTTCAATAGCGTGAATACGTAATTCCCTGGTATCAATCAACGATATTACTCCTGCTTAGTATATCAGTATGTACAAGCTGGACTACATGAAAGTCAGCGAGTATGGTTTTACGCCGCTTATAGCAATATTCCAGCAATATCACGGCGGGGGACACCAGGAATGGGCTTCAGACATTGTACACATGTCGGGAAATGAACCCGGGGCTTCGGCTTGACGAGCGAACGCTTTAACCACTAGGCTACCCGACCGCCCCGACTGCATGAAAGACTAATAATTGAATATGCATATGTCAGCGAGATTGACCAAGGAATGTACTTCTTATTTATAACAATCACAAAACTCACTCTTTCTCGGCCACAAAGTGACTTGTCCATGTGAGACACTATTGATCAGCATGGACCAACCAGTTCGGTACACAACCCTATATGTATTATACTTAACCAAAATCCGAACATGCCACTACTTAAGCTTAATCTTACGCCAATCTCTGACATGTCGATACTTTAATTCTAACAATATGAACTCAATTATCCCAAGGGGGCAGCATGTGTAAGGTATCTAATGTTGAGAATAATCTCATTTAGATATCACCGAGCAGTTATTGACATAAGAGAGCTTAAGGTCCCTTTCATCATTATTCTATCAATTAGGCTTGGGTGGTCAGGCTCGATGACGTGGTTCACAGTGGCGTGGGACGCTGCTTACGATACAGCTCACTGGTTTGTGTGGTTCCGATTGGATTATTTACGGACTGCCGTGCCCTTAATCGAAGTCTGCTGAGTCCAACGTTAAACAGAAAAGCGAGTACGTTGAAGTATGTAATCAGCATTATCCTAAATAATTTCGGGATGAGACCAAGCATACCAGTTATGTATATTTGAAGTATAAAAATCACACAATTACCTAGGTCGTCAGTTGTATCTACTGGTTAACCCTGAAGTCTTGAACTAGGGAGTTATTCTGCTTTAAAAACGACACGGCGTCATGCATTTGAACTTTCCACTATTTTGAGTCCACATCACAACTATAATAATTGTGAAACAACGACCGACTCATGTATACTCACACGCAAAAGAAACGCAAATAAGCAAATAGGTAACAAACACGGAACAATAAATTGATACGAGTTTTAGCATGTAGTGAAGCCTGATGGTGTTATCAATATTTTTGGTTGCATTTTCGAACTGTAGAGGGTATAAAACTGTGGCCGGTTCTTCGACCTACCACTCCTTGGTCAACAAGGCCACGCCTAACTCAAATTCAGAGAAACCAGACTATCGGACGTTTGGAAGCTGGAGAGTCTGTCCAAGATGTTGCCCGTCATTTCAACGTTAACTGTGTAACTTTTGAACATTCTTCCGTCTTTACTGTTGAAAATAAATAACATGTACACTGCAAACTCGACTTGCGTTTCTTTTGCGTGTGAGTATATATTATCCTAAGAAGTACATTATAAGTGGTGTAGACATTTGACGAACCATAGTGATATACATATTTTATCACCCGTTTACCTGCTCTGAACTACAGATGTGAACGTACTATTTGAGTCAGCCCTACCTCCTCCATTGCGCATGCAGTAGAAAGGGAACTTGACAAATGCTCCAGACCCGACGGCGAATCCCAGAAGGGTGATGAGGTAGTCCAGTTGACTGCGCCATTGTTCATGAGCCATGGTTGTATCTACCCTATAAGAAAATAGCACCCAGCATCAAGTCATTTTTCTGGACACAGCATTACAAAAGTATGCCTTTAGACATGGTAAAGCGCTGGGGATTCCGGGTAGGAACATGGATCACGAGCAATCGGTGGCGAAATGGATCGGTGATAACGCTCAATGACTTCGTTGATTGCATTTAATAGTGTTATTGTGTGGATCTCTGGTCATTATGCCAATCACTAGATTTTCTGGTCCATACACGAATATATAAAGACTTCATTCATATTGCAAGAATGAAGCGTTAAAGAAAAGAGGTCAGAATTACGAGATGAGGTGAGGTAAAATGGGGTGGTTCACGATTTTGAACTTATATAGCGACGCCTGTAGTCGTTATGATACATGTGCGTGCAAAGTATATCATTAATAGGGCACTTAATGATGTCTCATCTTTGGCAGTGTGGCCACGGACTGATGGACGGAAAAAGGACAATTTTGTTCTTGAAGGGAACACTTTGAGAGGCCCTAATGTCATAGTTCTTAACAACAAACTACTCTTTCCAAATGTTGATGTTGGAATAGGAAATGGCGTGACTTTGCAGCATAACAAACTATTGTCTCATTCTTAGTAGAGACTTCCGATGAAATGAAAATGTTTTTGTTGCTATTTATTTATGTCAGAGTTTCCTATTAATTCACTGTCCAAAAACATTGTCTTTGAAATGAAATTATTTTCAGAAAATATATCTGTTTATTGTTTTTCAAAGGAAGCCAAAGAGTGTCTCACTTTTTAGCCAGAAGAAAGCGTTATGGATTTGCATGTCATCATATATCACTGCAAACACAAAAACGTCGTATTCCGTATATGGTCATTCGACGGAAAAACGACTAAAAATTCACTAAAATTGATTAATTGGTGAGCGTCCAGAAAGTGTCCGGGAAAACGTCGAGTTTTTTCCCAAGCGTAAAATAGACGGAAAAACCATGTTTTTTGCACGCCTTGTACAACTGTTATCCAATCAGATTGCGCTGATCCCCCGACGCACGTGATAGTTTCAGGATATGAAACCTGTCAATGGAATTCAGACACGCGACAAGAAGTCAAATTTAACCATGTTACGATGTTTATTGGGATAACATATCCCTCCGCGATGTATAGTTCCTCTATCGGCCAATGGATTGTGTTTTATTTGGTTAACAGTAAATGTTTTTTTAATGTGACGTTTACACGATATACGGCTTTTCCATTGGACGATAGGTCGGTCACATGACCGCGAAATTGGAATTGATAAGTGTATGAACGACACATTTCGGCGTTCATACGTTTTTCACAAGACTTACACTACTGCCTAGAAGTTCATTCCCCTTACACGCATGGGCACCGCGTTACGCAACCCGTGTGCACCCCGTTGGTCTCTGGTGTGGAACCCATCCGCCACGCGTGTGATACCCGTGTGCAACGCGTTGAACACGGGTGTGCACCCCGTTCGTCACTCTTGAGCAACGCGTGACACACTCATTAGAGGGGGAACAAACTTTTGACCAAAGGAGGACCCATGTTAAGCTGAACTTTAGCTGAATCGGCCAATGGATTGTGTTTTGTTTGGTTAACAGTAAATATTGTTTTCATGTGACTTTTACACGATATACGGCTTCACTGGACGATAGGTAGGTCACATGACCGCGAAATTCATAAGTGTATGAACGACACATTTTGACGTTCATACGTTTTTCACAAGACTTACCAAAGGGCGACAATGCGACAACGCCACAATTTTCAAGGTATCGTTGTCGCATCATCATCAGTGTGTGAAAAAGGCCTTAAGTTAGTTAATGTTACAGTTGGGAAGCCGTGACCAACTAAGTAGTAGTTCTACCTGATACGTCTTGAACTGAAAACACAAGTCCGACCGCGGGTCCATAGCGTTTTAGTGTGAGGTCTTCTCTGTAGGTGCTCAGTGCTCATGTTCCAAACTGCCCCGATCGCACTGGGTTACATGCATATATAGCTTCTAAAAGTGTTGACCATATTCTTAAAAAGGTAATAAAGCCAGACTACGTAGTACCTCATTCCCAATCCACATGCCTCTAGTGCCTGATCGTCCGGAACATCTTACACTTGACCGTATAAGACAACGGACGAGTCCACGCCTGACCTGTGACCTCGTGGCCTCCATGAGGTACGTGTTTGCCTGAGGGAGGGGGGAAAGAAATGTGCCCACTGCCGAGCTCGCGACACGCTTACTCTGTTCCGAATATTCAGCAGAAAATATATATTAACCAGCTGTGAGGTGGGTATCAGATTTTAACAAGCAGTCGAATAAGGATGATAAAGGACCCCTAACTGATCAGGTTCGTGTGTATTAGAACACAGTTGGTCATGTCAGATTACATAAGCAAAACCCGGCTGCTATTACGGACGGGGGCTCCGGCGGGGGAACCAAACTGGACTTGTTATAGTGTACATGTGGTATGAGCTCTGACGTTGGCTGTCTCCCAGACCCAAGAGGATACATTACAAAAGGAGTCCATCTCAAGTCTAGAATGATTGGGAAAGTCTAGATTGCCTCAGCTCAAGCCTAAAATTAAGAATAGTTCTGTGCTCCTTCTTAATTTTATTATTTTTATTTTGTAGACATTGATAGAAAAAACAGGAAAGATATTGATGGGAAATTAATACTAGTATCACAAGTTACAACTGAACCAGTTAAATGAACCAGTTAGTGCATGATCATGTATATGTTCATTGTAGTAATTTGCATACTAGTCAATTTTGTCATCGATGTATTGACATTGGACGATGGACGACAATTCGATATTCTTATTCTTGCAGAATAAAACAAGGGCGCACGAACAAGGACACAATGTAGAGATTAGAGCATTACATCCCGACACAAGTCTGTTTGTTTCAGACATTTATTATAGTGATTTGTAACCTCTGATTGAATAATTGCGTCATCGCAGAATATTTTATTTGCTTCTTGCTTTTGTTATTATCAACAATGTAAAAATCTACGTGGAGATATACACTATTACTACTGAGGCGCATATCTGATCAATGCGACTAATCGACTAATTTTCCAATCTTCCAATACCCGTTACGGGCATTCTAATCATAATATTATACTTTGAATAATTAGTTTAAAAGTTGAGAAATATTGCGTTTCAAATGATGGCAAATTAATGTCTAGTACAGTGTGTCTTTCTACATTTTAAATTCATTATATTTTCTGCCAAAATAGCGTAACATCAGATAGTGATCTAAACGGATATGATCCATACTGTGATAAGTGAATTGTTAATTTCTTTTTATGTGCGTAGGTGACCAGCGATAAAAAAATAAGACTTAAGTTTACTTCTCATTCTTGGAAGGTCTTTTTATAATAATGTTTGAAGCCGCTCTCAGCATTATGCCAGCTATGACGGCGGATTGTAAATAATTGAGTCTGGACCACACAACCCAGTTATTGACATCAAGAGCATCGACCTATGCAATTGGGATACGATGACATGCATCAACCAAGTCAGCGAGCCTGACCACCCCATCCTGTTAGTCGCCTCTTACAAGCATGGCATCCTGAAGGCCTATCCTAACCCTCATCTTCACGGGTAATGTTTTTAATAATAAGGTAAAGTGAAATTATTTATATGTTCAGTATTAGTGTGTATAAGTAGACGGATAACATATCGGTATGATGTGCTCTTTTACAATTCCATATTTCAATACAAGTATTTCATATTCAAATATAACTCCACAAAAGCTACACAATGGAAACAAAAACTGTACCAGCACCACAAACACCAATAATACATTCTTCAACACGAGATACATTTAATTACTTTAAAGTAATTAAATGTGACTAAATAGTAAATTGTTTTCTGACATTTTGGTATTATTTTTCGTTGGGAGAGAGAAGTAGTGACAATAGTGACTGGTTTCTGATGGGTGCAAACAGGTGTCGAGTCGCAGTCCCTGATTGCTGAGCTCATAAGATCACAACGGCGATGCAGACCATGAAGCAGTTTGTCTCACAGTCCCTGAACCACATTATTTTCTCTTCCGCCTAACCCGCCCAGATTTTCAACAGGTTCAGACTGAAATTTCCCTCTCACTGGGGCTCCTTTTTAATTTAAATATAGTTTATAATTCATTTATTTTAGACTAAGCTGAAGTCTAACCATGAAGTACAACTATCCAAAACATGTCATGTAAGTCTAGATTTCTTCAGACAGACTCTCCATGTTCCTTTCGATATATATGAAAACACAATTCAGGTTTTTTTCTATAAAGTGTCTATGTTAATCTAGCGGGTTGCTAAACATATCAGTTTCAACATCTTCTCAAAAGTGCTTTTTAGAATGCCTGTAACGGGAATTGGAAGATGGGAAAATTAGTCGATTAGTCGCATTGATCAGAAATGCGCCCCAGTAGTAATATTGTATATCTCCACGTAGATTTTTACATTGTTGCTGTAATTGTTTGTGGATAATTAAAAAAGCAAGAAGCAAATAAAATATTCTTTCCTGACGCAATTATTCAATCAGAGGTTAAAAATCACTATAATATATGTCTGATATAAACTGATTTGTGTGGGGTGGTAATGCTCTAATCTCTACATTGTGTCCTTGTTCGTGTTCCCTTGTTCTATTCAGCAAGAATAAGAGTGAGTGACTATGGTTTTACGCCGCTTTTAGCAATATTCCAGCAATATAACGGCGGGGACATCTGAAATGGGCATTGTACCCACGTCGATGATCGAACCCGGGTCTTCGGCGTGACGAGCGAACGCTTTAACCACTAGGCTATCCGACCGCCCCAGCAAGAATAAAAATGTCGAATTGTCGTCCATCGTCAATACATCAATGACAAGTGTGGATATCATATAGTTATCGTTGGTGCAGCGCAACGCTTTAATATAAATTATAATCATATTGACTAGTATGCAAATTACTACAATGAACATGTACATCATCATGCACTTCGTAATATCAAATACTAATATTTCATTATGTGATGAATTTAACTGGATCAGTTGTTACATGTGATACTAGTATCATTTCCCCATCAATAGCTTTCCTGGTTGGTCTATCAATGACTACAAAATAAAATAAAAATAATAAAATTAAAAAGGAGCACAGAACTATTCTTAATTATATAATCTGACATGACCAACTGTGTTCTAATACACACGAACCTAATCAGTAAGGTCCTTTATCATCCTTATTCGACTGCTTGTAAAAATCTGATACCCACCTCGCAGCTGGTTAATAAATGCAACTTGAATCTTAAATCCTTAACGTACCTTTTTCCGAAAATACGTATCACATGCAGTAAACAGTACATCAAGTGTTATATACTGTATATCACATTCAGTATACAGTGTGTCGCGAGCTCGGCAGTGGGCACATCACCTGTACCGTGTCTTAAAGGGGTACTGATCTAACGCAATTCCCCGGACTGGTTGTTGCCTTTGTTATTGTTTTTTCCCCCGTGAGTACCCGGATGATACTTTTTTTTGTAAATCAACGGATCGTTCCTAGTCATCAAAGGATTAACAGAAAATACGTTGATTGATTAATCACTGTTATCTTGCACAGGGGATATGTCAAAAGTGAGTGTTTACATGTCTAGGTTTACTAAGACAAAGGGAATACACTCATACCATGGCGTGAAGTGCCGATG